ATTTTGGATTTAGTATTTAATTTCGAAAAAGACGTGAAAGAACCTGGGTTTGCCGACATATGAGACGTTGCTCCCGTATCCATATACCATTGATCGTCCGATGGAGTTAACGTCATGGTTTGCATGGCAGTGTGCAAATCAGTGGGAGTCGGGGCCGGTGTGGTGGGGGCGGCATAGTGAGCTTGAGGAGGACGAGCCCCAAGTATTCCGGCACCAGAAGTTGGGCGTGGCATAGACTGGCCGTGCAATGCAGAAGCAGGATAGGGACAAGGAGGGATGTTCCATGATGGGTTTGGCATCCAGTAGCCCCAAGGATGAGGTGCAGGCGGCCATTGACCAGGGGAGGGTTGTGGGTCAGAACGCCCCCGTCCCCAGCCACCACGAGATGATGAGCGGCCACGACCACCACGACCGCGGGAAACGGCACGTGGAGGTGGAGGGGGAGGAGGGTCCCTTGGAGGAGGTGGACCGTCAGTGTGGACAAGGGCAGCAGCGGAAGGTGTATGTTGTGCCTTGCGGGACTCTTCCAACCGAACCATAGAACGTGCAGTAGCAAAAGTGGGCAGAGGATTAGATTGTTGAATGATTGTAGCAACCGTAGCATACTCTTCGGAGAGGCCGGTGACAAAGCGCAGGACCAATCGGCGGTCATCCACCGGGGAGTTCACGTTTGCCAGTTGATCGGCAATGGACTTAAGAGCCCGGCAGTAGGATGTGACATTAGGAAATTGATCCATCCTGGTGTTTGAAAACTGATTTTCAAGATGGACAGTCCGGGTTTGTTTGTTGTCTTGAAAGATGTCAGATAAGCGGCCCCAAGCTTGGTGGGCGGTGGAATCCGGCTCAATGATGGTATGAAGCAAATCCGTGGATATAGTGCCGTATATCCACTGGAGAACTATGGCATCAAGACGATTCCATAGCAGCAAAGCTTCGGTTCGGGCGGCTTCTTATTCAAGGCGCTCGGTAATGGTGAGTTCCGGGGGAGTGACAGAAGACGATGCATCCTCATTAGGTGATGAGATAATGTGATCGAGGACTTGATATGCTCTAGCGGTAATTTTAAAGAGCTCAGCCCAAGAGGTATACTCAACAGTATCAAGATCAAGGGTGATGGGTATAAAGTTTTTAATATTGGAGACCGCAAGAGCGGGATGAAAGGAAGTTTGTTTGGGGTTGGGAGAAGCCATGGAAGAAGAAGACCTGGGCTCTGATACCAAGTTAGAAGAGGGATAAATTTCACTGTGAGTATTCGTATTCCATCATGCTCTTTAAATAGAGTCTAAGTGAGTACAAGTATAATACTATACGTATGTTAACAGACTAACTATTAGAACGCATGGCATCCGTATTCCTCTATACATTGAACATGGACACCCTACGGATAAGATTTGCTGAGTCTATTCCTAAAGAGATAATATCAGTTATTTACAATAGATAATAACAAAGGCGGTTTGGCCGCACTTACTCATGTGCATGTATGCACACGTAATTTAGTAAATAATGAATATGCTAACAGTAAGTGTTAGATTTTTTTTCTATATATACAAAAACAAGAACAAAATTATAGGATGAGTCAAGCTAAACTCACTACAACAACAACACTAATACACAAAGTGTATATCACTATATATACTTTTCTTACTTTATGACATGATGATAATGAACAACAACAAACTATTTATTTAAAGGACTGATCGATTCGGAGATGAAAGGTAATGTTTTCATCTTCTCCATATCTTCTATCATACCTATTTGTTACGTTGGAGAGCTCTTTCGAAGAAGTTAATTAAGTAGGCTCCATCATAAATTGTTTCTGGGTAACTTTTAAGAAACAAGGTGGAACCTTACACAATTTACTTCTAATTTCATTGGTTGTGACTTGTGATTATCGGTGACATGATTCGACCTAATGAGTAAAAGATGTGTATAAATGACATATCGTACAAAATTATGCACATAGTGTTTTACATAAACAAACCAGTAAAACACAATGAATACATATTGGTTTATGTGTAATTTATAAACGTTATAGTGGATGGATGTAAAAGTAACTATGATAGGTGATGGAGTTATGAGACAAGGCCTAGAGCCTAATCGGCCCAAGCCCCGAACTTGGACCCGTGGATCCAGGTCCACAACCTGGAGCTTGCCTACCACCCCAACGGGGAGCCTGCCAGTCCGGCCGACCTGCCAGCCAGGAATTAATGCGTTGTTTAATTCCGTATTAATGTTGTAATTAATTAGTCATTATTATCGATAGTGGTTACGATTTACGCCTATAAAAGGCAAGTTGTAATTCAGTTTAGGGGGGCTTTTCCCGACTAATAATCCTCTTCTTAGTTTTTCCGTGATCAATGAATAGATTAAGAGCCTGTTTGGTAGCACCAAAATCGGCTGATTTGGCTGATTCTGCTGAAATTTCTGAAATTCTGGCTGAAGTGGCTGCATTGGTTGATTTTGCTGATTTAAGAAAAAAAAATTTTAAAATATATTTTATTAACAAAATAAAGAAAAAATTATATGTAAAAATAGCTAAAATGATCATCTACAGTAACTTCAGCCAATACAGCCAGAAAAGTAACTTCAACCTTACTTTTTCTGCTTATTACACAATTCAGCGCGTGAAATCAAAAGTTGCGTGTTTGGTGAAAATGTTGGCTGATAAGCCTGATAAGCCGATAACAAGTGTTGCCAAACGGCACCTAAGCTTTCTTGCTGGAATTATATTCCAACAATAGGCTAAAAAGTTGAAAGAGTCCCAATGTGTGGATAGGTGCCTCTCATAAAAAAACATGTTACTCCCAATTAATCTGTTCCCGTTATTGTACCTTTTCTTCGACCTTTGTTAGTCTGTTGATTGATCAAAAAATCAGTTTCCTCCTCTTCAGTAGTTTGGTTATTGTGCACTAGTTTAAACAATGACTCCAGTTCCATGTCCATGTATGATGTAACAACGTATCATAGGACATTGTTCCTTCGATGGATGGGCTTTAAACCTGTGATTAGGGTACCAATTGATCAATATAATAGACGAAAAACACACTATATATTGTGTCGTTGTATAAAAGATTGAGCACAGTTCCTCGCCAAAAGAAATATTTGTAATTGGAGACCCAACTACTCCCTCTACCCTTATAATTATTTTAACCATCACTTGAAACAAGGCCACCGACCTTCAACCATTTAGAGTTGACTGGACAAATTGCCCTTCCTTTAAAACATAAAAACAGCGATAGGGAAAAATGAAAATAACATGACAACTCCAAAATGGAAAAGGAAAAAGTTAAAAGTACATAACAAAACTTACATCCCAACTCACATAAAAAATAAAAAGTATATATCTCAGGCACATAAGGCCATTGCAGCTCATTTATTAGCTACAAGATATATGTTAAGTTGTTAACCATGGGATGATCTATATGTTTGAGTAATGGTAGGTTGAAGTCTAGAGTAACTAATGTTTTTCCAAATTTTTAGTGCATTTTTTTTTTCATTTTTCATATTTATCTCACCTCGTTAATTAGTAAAATTACTTCTTAGCCATGCAAGTCCAATTCAAATTCTTGAATCCGCCCGTAGTTCATGTGTAAGCCAAGATGAAGGGTATAAAAAGGCACTCAAGTTCACTCACCATTTCTAAAATAGAAAAGTTACGTTGAAGGTATGAATATAAGAATGTGATTCCTTTTAAGCCTTTTAATTACTCATATAGTTCTAGTGAACTTAGCATTCCATGATTTTATAATATCTTACAATCTTATAATTGTGAATGAAGATTAGGGCACTTTGGATAGAAAAAAGTGTCGGTGTAATCATATTGTTAAAAGAGTACAAAAGCTGATCTACCTTTTGTACTCTTTATTAAGATGCTAATGTTTCATCTAATCTTTGTTTATCATCATGTCCTTTCAGTGGTTACAACATATACCTTCCATTTGCCTAAGACGACAGTCATTCCGCATCCTACCATCAACTGGGCTTCTCCTACGACCACTGCACATATGTTCTCTTCTATTTTCTACTCATGATCTCGTTATGAGCTTGTGACCAATTGATTTCCTTTGTAACCAATGATGCGATTTTTAGAATTCCCAAATTCAATACCCTTTTAATTGACCTACCATTTTGTCCTTTTAAGTTTCTCTCTGACGGGATGATGGGAGCCTAGCAGAGCAGACCTTTAACCTCTGACCATTATAGATATTCTGATACGGGGTTTTCAGACCTATCGCTTCCCCACTGGCTTAATATTGTAATCAGCTTGTGTTCCTTCCTTAGCTACGCTCCCGCCCTCAATACTGCTATTGCTTTCTCATTTGGCTAGTTCTTTAGTACGTCTTTGTACTTCCTTTTTGTTCTCATCCCATAGAAACAAAATTTATTATGAATTTGATAGTAAAAAGGTGCAAATACCCCTGAACTTTTAAAAGGTACACAGAGACCCCTAATGTTTCTAGCAAATTTACCCTTATTAACTTTAAATAAATCAAATAAATTTAAAAAAAAAATATGAATTCAAAATTTTAAAAATAAATAAAGAGTTAAAATCAAATATTTTTTTATGTTAAAATATTATTTCTTTAATCTTAACTTGCAAAATCATTATTTTCCCTTGTAAATGAAGCATTTCATATTCATAAATATTAATTTTAGTCTTGTTGTGAAATTTCTAACAAATTGTTACATTTTTTAAAATAACATTCTTTGGTTTTGTTTAAACTTAATAAAATTAAATTTACTATTTTCTAATCTTGGACTATTTATCATCATGTAAAATATGTAATTTTATAGTGCAAGAATATAGAAAAATAATGATTTTTTACATTGCAACACACATGTTAACACTTTTCCGAAAGAATCATAAATATATATAATTTGAAAAATTTTATACTAATAATATTAAATTGTGATATAAAAATAATAAAAGGGGTAATTGGACACAAGTAGATTTTCTTTTCAATTTCAAAGAAGGGAGTATATACTAAATTCCCTACTAACTAGGTCATCGTGTCCGGCCTTAAGGGCAATGAATTTTGGAAAATGGTTCACCTCAAATTCTTCTTGATTGACTAAAATCATATTAATTGGTGTGATTAATTAATTTTGATACATTTATGGACACATAATTTATCAAAGCAATAGAAGATGTAAATTCCATTGAAAATGACTTCCATTGAAAATTTATATTTTGTAAATATACATACTGGAATGTATTGATCAATGTAATCTTATTTGATCTGATCTATCACTTGCATCTCCTTGAATTTTGTTGTCCAGCCTTTCGAATTGCAAGGCAGCTTTTAAAGCGGCACGTATCAACAATGGAGTGAGGCAATAGTGAGATGAGAGCCCATTGAAGAGAATGAGGCCAATAAGGAGTGCACCTCCATTCATATCCTATCCAACGTAACGCTGCCCGAGCATAGCCTTCCGCAGATGGAATGAAAAATGAAGACTTTGTGACTGATGTCATTTTTGTGGCCACATATAAGGGCACCTGCACATCAAACCATACCAATTTGATCCTATTTGAGGGGTACAAGTTGTCACTTTTTAACTTTTTAAACAAAACAAAACAAAAACATGTTTTGAAGATTAGAAAAGATGATTTTTTTATTTGAAGTCACTCTTCATACTTAACGTGATTATTTTTCTTTATTTGATGTCGCTTGCTCCAACCAATTAATTACATTTGAAGTTGAGAAGTCTTGCATTTCTCCGATCCACTCACTCTTATAACTTGTCACATAAACATTTCTATCAAAATTATTTTCAATGTAGAAAGTATTTCAATTGTTAGTTGCGCTACAATATCTTCCTCTTGATTTATTATTAACAATATTACTTTTAATAATTCTCTTTTTCCAAAGTTAGTAACTCCTTTTGATTGATTAACTTTGTCAAGAAAAACACAATGTTCTGATGGTTATCTATTTACTTTAACATTGCAAGCAAATCCTCTAAATCAGTCATTAAAGATACTTGGGAAAGTTGAGCCAGAATTAAAACATGTGCGGACCTGACATTGTATATCAATCCCGCTTTTCTTGTACTCCATGTGCAGACATCTTGAAAATTGATCAACATATCTGAAATAGTAGCACCAATTGTGCATAATGTCCAATTACTTTAGCTCAAGAGAGATGAAGCAATGAAGGGAAAAGAATTGACAACCTAGACTTCCGTGTTTAAAATTAGAAATGAGAAAAGAAGTGAGAGGGTGTTTGAATTTACTTCTCAAAATTGTTTCTACTCATTCAAAAATCAAAATCAGATATTGGAATATGTGGGCAAAAGTGTAGAAATACTTTTATATGCTCCAATTATTTTTAGATACAGGTTTAAAAGGTGGAACAGTACGTCCAACTTCTAAAGCATGGGTTATTCTTCTATTTCTACTTTTAGAAACAAAAAAAGTAGAAGCGGAATCAATTCTAAACATTCCTAAATATGCCTTGCAAATGAAAAATTATTCAATTAACCGCATTACTATATGGAATGTACATCACGGTAATGTGAGATATCGTCATGTGTCTAGTTTATCTAGCTTATTCTATCCTCGAGTCTTAATAAAATTCACCATGTATTCTAGTAAACAGAGAAGGTGTTACATGACGTTACACAATACTTTGACAGTTGTAAAATACACATAAAACAGACATCTACCCGATTCATTTAGAGAATTAGAAGCGGGATTGGGCCATGTCAGGACTGGAAAATTACAGTCCAATAAAAAAATACTACGTTCGTTCCGCTTAAAGGTTCCCGTTACAAAATGGTACCATTATTTAGATAGTAATTAAATAAGGTCATTTGATCATATTGTGAGAAACAATTTTGATTGATATATAATGTAATGCGATCGTTAATGATAATTGTGATGTTATGGGTGTATTATTTTTAATATTTAGTGATTAAATTGTCATTTAAGAGTATTAATTATTTTTGAAAATAGAAATGAGAACCTTTATATGGGGCGTCCAAAAAATGAAAGTGTGAACCATAGAATGGGACGGAGGGTGTACCAAGTAGGGTCTCGGCACAATGTCTTAAATTCCCTATATATGATTGTTGTGTGTTTGGACAAATATACCATTGCCCTACGTCCAACGACCTTCCCCAACCATGCCGCCCACTTCATGCTGCTGGCCTTCGCTAAACAACGGCAAGACATATCTTCTGCCGATCACTGGAATCCACCGAAAATTACCAGAATGCATCAGCATCATTTTGGCCACCGCCAAAGAACTACCTCGCCACCAACGGAATGCCCCGTGCATGTAAGGGAACTAGGAGCCAATTAATTAGATTAGACCATACAAGGCCTTCTTCTTTTTTTTTAACCCGGAAGGCCAACCACCAAAATCAGTGGGGCAAACGCCGGGGAACGTTTGCCGGTATTTTATTGATATCCAAAACCAGTACAATCAGAAGAGGGGGACTATACCGAAACCTCCTCCAAAGGGGCATTCCCCTTTTCGAAAAACACCTATTAAAAACTGTTAAAAGAAACTAAAGTAGCTCAGACCCAATTTATCAGCAATTAAAGTGCGTCTAATATGAAGTGGAAGTTGTCTAGCATTATTAAAAATAACCAGATCAACAGATTTAATCTTGGAGAGGAAGTGAGCAGTCCAATTAATCTCGCGTGGTATATGCCTGAAAGACAGATGCGAGCTAACCTTCCACCTTCTTAGATCCTCTACCATTTTCGACCACCGTCCCTCCATCTTACCTCCCAAAATTTCATCTACCGCCACCAATGAATCCGTCTCTACCTCCACCGCCTGAAATCCTTTCTTGACCGCCCAACGAACAGAAAGATGAAGCGCCTGCATTTCCGCGTCTAGAGCTGATGTTGCAGATATAGGAAAATGAAAAGCTACCTCCAACTCACCTGACCTGGATCTTAATACCGCTCCACCTGAAGCACCATCGGACCTGTAGGACGCGTCGATATTTAGCTTGTAATCCATCTCAGGTAACTCCCATCTGATAGCTCTAATACTTGATTTCTTAGTCCGAAAAGATGAGGCAAGAAACCCTTCTTCATATAGGATTGAAGTAGGCTTACCAAATTTAGCTCTATGAAGTTTCACTTCAGCCCAATTCTGAGAGAAGGATTTGATTTGTCTAATAGTGATCTGCCAATTTAGAACAACATCCTCCCCACCCCAAATAATTCGACAGTAAATTTTCCAAATATGCCAAGAAATAATTCCAGCCATATTATACTTAAACACATCTATAAGGCTTCTATTCCCAGCTTCCAGCCACCATGCAATGAGCATCTGTCTCAGAGAAATTGGAATAATAGGAATAGGTATTTCTAACACCCCAAGAAAGTATTTCCAAATTCCCCAACTAAAAGAACAATTAACCAACACATGATCCATCAAATCTGAGTCCTGTTTACAAAAGGGGCATCTAGTAGGGAAGACAGCAATGTTGAACTTACTCATGTTATCTGGAAATGGAAGTATTCTATTAAGAGCTTTCCATTGAAAATTTTGAACTTGATTATGTTGATACTTATTCCAGGCATGCTTGAAGGAAAAAATAGAACTGCTGGTTCTTCTCACACTATGAAATGCTGAGGATAAAGTGAACCTGCCATCACTTTCTGGTAACCACAATAGTTCCCCATCCTGATTGTGTGTACTAAGAGCTTGCCCCAACTCATGAATTCTGCAAACCCGTTTCCAAATATTTGAATCTGCCTGCTTTGGTATCATATTTGTGCCCCTTGGGTATTTAGCATTACAAAAGGTGGCCCAAAAAGATTTATTACATCGCCATTTCCACCAAAGCTTCAAAGAATAAGCTTTTTCAATGTCTATAAGGGACCTTATATTCAGACCACCTTCATCATAAGGCAAACAAATATCCTTCCATCTAATCCAGTGAAATTTATTTTTTGTAGCATTGGAGCCCCATAGAAAATGTGACATTTTTTTTTCCAAACATTTACTGACTGCCTTGGGAAGTGTGTTTACCGCCAGAGTGTGTAAAGGGATAGTATTTAAGACATATTTGATTAAAATAAGCCTTCCTCCAAAGCTTAAATTCCTCTGTTTCCAAATAGTCAATTTCTTATCAAAGCTCTGAAGGATGTCCTTACAATAATTCTTTCTGTTGATACCTTTGTGCAGGGATGACCCTAGGTACTTCATTGGCAGACTAGTCCTTGTCATATGTAGAAGTCTCTCCATCTTCCTTATTCTGGCAAGGGAAGTTTTACCACATCCAAAGCTGCTCTTTTCAAAGTTGATGGCCTGACCAGAAGCCCTTTGATAAAGACCCAAGAATTGCTTGAGATTGTTAATTGATCTAGCCTCCCCATTTAAAAAAACTAGAATATCATCAGCATAACAAAGATGACTAACAGACTGTCCAACCGGACCAATATAATATGGCTTAATTTTATTATCTGCAACCAGACTTTTCAGTCCTCTTGAAAGGGCTTCAGTAGCCAGAATAAAGAGAAAGGGAGATAAGGGATCTCCCTGTTTAACTCCTCTAAGGGGCTGGAAAAATCCTTTTGGAGAGCCATTGATAAGAACAGAAAAATGAGTAGCCATAAGGTGTTTCATAACAATATCAACAAAGTTCTCAGCAAATCCAAATTTAGACAAAATGGCTCTTAAGAAAGTCCAAGAAATCCTGTCAAAGGCTTTGGCCATATCTAGTTTTACTACTATATTGGTTCCCCTGACCTTTCTATCAATTGAGTTAATCATCTCCTGCGCTACCATAATATGATCTGAGATATCCCTTCCTTTCATAAAACCCGCTTGCTCAACTGAAATCAATTTGGGCAGAATGAGAATAAGCCTGGTAGCCAAAATTTTTGTGCATACCTTACTAATAAAGTTAGAAAGGCTGATAGGTCTGAAATCTGAAAATGTGGATATCATGTCCTTCTTTGGAATGAGTACTATAAGAGAACTAGCCATTTCTTTAGGAATGATATTTCCTTGGAAGAAGTCTTGTATAGCCCTGACAACATCATCTCCTACAATTCCCCAGCAATGTCGAAAAAATACTCCATTAAATCCATCAGGTCCAGCTGCACTGTCCTTATCTAATCCCCAAACTGCATCCTTAACTTCTTCATGATTAGGTAAAATCATCAGTTTCTCATTGTCATTATTATCAACTAACTCTGGGATGTATTGCAATATTTTGTCAATCTCTTGAACCTCCTCCCGAGCAAAGATATTCTTAAAGTACTCCTCAGCAGCAATGCCAATACCTTCCGAATCAGTACACCAGTTACCATCCTTGTCTTTTATGGCAGATAAGAACTGCATTCTTCTCTTGATATTTACATAATCATGATAGAACTTAGTGTTAGAATCCCCCTCTTTTAGCCATTTAAGATGTGCTCTTTGCCTCCAGAATTCAGCTTCTTGTTTATGTTTAGAAAGGAGAAGAGCCTGTTTAAATGACCAGTCCTCTCTATGCGCATCAGTAGGGTCAGACTCAAAAATAATCTCTGCATCAGTGACTTCAGCCTCCAATTTTTTAATTTCATGGAAAATATCTCCAAAAGAATTCCTATTCCAATTTTTCAGGGCCTTTTTAAGATTTTGCAGTTTATTATATAAACCCCTCACACCCCCTCCTGTAGTGCATGCATCCCACTCTTTTCTGACAACCTCTAAAAAGGTGGGATGAGAAATCCACATATTCTGAAATTTGAACGGTTTTGGACCCACTACTAACTGATTTTTACATTGCAGCAGGATTGGAGAGTGATCTGAAGATGTCTTATTGAGATGGCTAATCTGAATGGTATCATACAACCCCAAGAATGAAGAATTAAATAAAACCCTATCCAATCTGCGCCACACTCTTCCATTGGGTCTAACCCCAGACCAGGTAAAAGGAGATCCAATGAAAGGTAAATCAATCAGATCACTATTAGCTAGACAGTCCTTGAATTCATTCATACTGCTTAAAAGAGGGATATTGTGGCCTTTGTGTTCTCCCTGATATGCTATAGCATTGAAATCACCACCAACAACCCAAGGATCTTTATTATTCCTAGCCCAATTTTCCAAAAATTGCCAAAGCTCTCTTCTAT